TTTTAATATTATAATGATGAATATTTTTAAAAGTTTATATTTTTATTTTAAAAAAATAAAATTATTAATTATATTTAATGAGGTTTATTTGTATATAAAATTTTGTCTAAAAATATTTTATAATTTATGACGGAAGGAGTGTATTATTTTTTTGGCGAGACTCTTTTTCCATGGCATTGAAAATTTCAGAATAAACAGAAATAAACTTTTATCAGCTTAATTTTATTTGATAAAAATAATTTAATTTTAGTCAACTTAAATTTTAATATGATCTATTTATTTTAGAGTTTTTATTTTTCTCATTTAGCTTATTTTTATTACTTAATTAAGTGGGCTCATGCTTGATTCAGAGTTGGATGATACTTAAATTTTTATTTTTTAAAAAACTTTATTTTAATCCTTTAGTTTATATTTTTTAGAAACTACTTATTATTAAGTATTTAAAAGTTAAGCCATCAAAATTATATTTTCGTTATTATAATAAGAAAAAATAAAATATACAATTACTGAAACAATGTGCCAAGTACGTACCAATATACTTTGAGAAAATTTAGATGCAAATTAATGGATAAATGTATTATATCTTACTAAAAAAGAAAGAAAGGAAAAGAAAACAAGTAAAGTGTGCCAAACATGCATGTTCACATGAAACCACATGATTAGTTAAGTTTGTTCTCTCACCTTACTTTGGATTGCAAGAAGAGAGAAATTATACGCAACCTTTTTTGTTTAACCAAATAATTATTTTAGAATTATTCAATTTTGTAAACTTATTTTTAAGGAAAAATGACAATAAAATTCTTTCAAAATATATAAATGACACTTTAATCACTCAAAATGTTATAATCCTATTGAAATTTTTAAAAATTTTTCTATCATTAATGAATTTATATAAATGATCAAATTATTCTTGTTGAAAATAAAACGATTAGTAAATTTTATTTAAATAATCACAAGTTTTTTTCTCATATTCGCAACAATACAATAGTAAATTATAACTTCGTTGTTAAATTCTTGATTTGTTGTCATATTATTGCGAATATGAAAAGAAAAATTGTGATTATTTAAATAAAACTTATTAATCATTTTATTTTCAATAAGATCAATTTGATCATTTATATAAATTCATTAATAACAAAAAAATTTTCAAAAATTTCAGTAAAATTATGATATTTTGAGAGAAAAGATTGTTATTTATATATTTCAGAGAAATTTTATTATTATTTTCTCTATTTTTAATGTCCTAAAGTAAATTATATTACAAATTTTAATATTTAATAACAAACACTTGTTTCAATTGATACATTGTATGTGACGATGTAAAAAAGGCATAGACTTGGATGTCATCTTGCACACGCAAGCGAGATCGTGATGAAAGCTTGTTAAGTAAGTATTAATCGGTTTTTAATTAATTACATGTTAATTAGCTCTATAATACTCCGGATTTCGGCCCTATGTATAAGTCACGTACATTGATTTTTTTTAGTTTTATTGTTTCATGATTTTCTACTAGTAAAGAAAAATGTTATTCTCTCCATTCAAAAATATAAGGCATTTTTAACCGAATTTTACCTCTAATAAAATAATTATCTACTTTCTAACTAACTTTATCTTTTTATATTTATCCCTATTAAACACTCTACAATAAATATAAAGTTATTATCAATAGGGGTACTTTTGAAAAAAAGACAATGATTACACCTTGAAAAACTAAAAATGTCTTATATTTTTAAACATCCAACTCTTCAAAAAATGTCTTATATTTTTAAATAGAGGGAGTGTATATATAAATATATATGAAAGATAAAATATTTTAAGAACTCAATCATTTGGGCTTTGTTTGTATATAAAATAAAAATAAAATTTTAAGAAATTGTATAAAAAATGGAACTCATGTCTTCAAATTGAACAAAATAAAATAAATAATAAAAATAGTAGCATCATAATAAATTAATAATAACAATTACATACTCCCTCCGTTCAAAAATATAAAGCATTTTTTGAGGAGTTGGATGTTAAAAAATATAAAGTATTTTTAGTCATTCAAGGTGTAATCATTATCTTTTTTTCAAAAGTGTTTCTATTAACGGTGACTTTATATTTATTATACGGTAATTAATAAGAATAAATATAAAAAATAAAGTTAATTTAAAAATAAATAAAAATTTTATTAAAAGGTGAAATTTAATTAAAAATATTTTATATTTTTAAATGAAGAGAGTAATATTTTTATCAAGTGGGAATATTATCAAGTGGGCGTTCCAACTTGTCGTTCCACTTTGTCAACTCCCTAAACAAAAAAATCAGGAGATGCAACGTATCAATATTATGTCATAAAATTATGTATTCAAATTTTATGAATAGAAAAAAATTTTAATGAAAGAATTACTTTCAATTAGATATGATAATATTCATATTTAAATCAGCCAAAAGTAACAATTAGATATAACTAGGACTGAGAAAATAAGCTAACCCAAATTATAGGTAGGTTGAATTCAGTCCATTTTTATATAAGTAAAAAAAATCTCAATCCAACTCTCGTTGGTGAGCTAAATGAGTCAACAAGCCAATTTATTTAATTTTTTTATCAACATTTTTTGAAAAATTCACATAAATAATAAGTTTTAATATGGTATTCCATACAAATAAAAACAATTCACACCATAAACTTATAAAATTGATTTATTACATCATGATTCATTCCAATCTTCTAGATTTGTTTGTTTCGTGAGGTTGCAGTGCTAAAATGAACTGCATGTTTTTATAAGAGTTTTGTATTTGAAAAAATAGAAATTTTTAATGAAATTAGGCTTTGCAACCCAGGCCATTTTTGTTTTACCCCTAAAAAAATATTTTTATTTTTAAATTAAATTTAAACTTTAAAATATATGTTTATATTTAGAATTAGAATTTCTATTATTTATTTTAAATTTTTAACAATATAATTTATATTTAAAAATATAAAATATTATAATTAAAAATTTTAATTTTTAAAAATTCAAAAAAAATAAAAAAAGAATTTACGAGCACAATCTTAAATCCTTTGAATAAGAATAAAGCTTAAAAAAAATACTAATTTTAAGATAACCAAGCTTATGAACTTGAATCCATGTGGGTTAGACTTACCCATTTTTTACCTCTAATCTCTAGCTAAAACACCATCTATTTTTAATTCTTTAATTTTTTAAAAAAATAATATAAATTAAATAAGATAACCTTAACCCATTAAAATTAACCTATCTGGTCATCAAATATTTAATTTGAGCCAAAAAAAAAATGTTTTTACTTGAGTTAAATTTATTTCCAACTCAATCTAACTCTTATGATATATTTGTGTCAATCTATATAACTCGACACGTATTCCCAATTTGAGATGTAACAACCAGGGCCGAGCCTGAGAACTTTCAGCATCAAGAAAACTTTGCATGCCACCTTGCCACAAAGGACACGGACCGATGTTGTCAACTTGAAGCATCATTGCAGTGAGCCTCCCAAGTTGAACGATGGAAGATGCCTTCTAAATTGTCTTTCTCTTCTGATGCAACATTGAATACAGCTTTACTTGGCCTCCTTTGAATAATAATATTATGTTCCCTCTTCTTTTTCCTTTGACTTGTTTCCTAATGATGTTCTTTAACCGCACGTTTTTCACATTTTTTAGGCACATCAAAAACTAAGATTATGTACTTCAAGGTGAAAGTGAAGGTGGGGAATAAAAGAAGAAAGGAATAAAATCTGATCTTCACTTTTTATTACCAAGAAAATGTGCTTCGGGATTTTTTTTTATTTTGACATTTAAATTCCATCCTTATTTTAAAAATCAAATAATTCTTATTTTATTAATGTGTTAATTTTTTTTAGCTTTACGGATGCAAAAGATAATATAAATATAATTTTATAATACTATTTTTTATGTAAAAAATAAAAGAAAAAAATTTAAATATTAATTGTCTAAATTAAATTTAGATATTCTACGTTTTATTTTAAAAATGAGCATATGATGCTCGTCCTCCACTCAACCAGTGAAATCAGATATTTGCCTCTTTGAATGTACCCTCTTTTGTACCAAAATCCAATCGTCAGAAAAATATTTTTTACTGTACAAAAACAAGTATGTAATATTTATTATATTTCTATTATCATTATTCAATAATAATAATAATAATTTTCTATCATAATTTTCCCATTCATACCTACAATATCATTAAACAATAAGATCATTTTTTAGTCGAAATCATTTTTATTCTATTGTCCTTTTTCATCTGGAAACCAGATTACCTCTTGAAAATATGGGGGGGAGGGAACAAAATTGCATCTTTGACTTCTTTTATCTAAAGAAATTGAAGTGAATTAAGTTTTGAAAGCTCATTAGGGTCCGGATATATTTTTAGATTTAAAAATATTTACAGAAACACTTATAAATTATTTACAAAAGAGAATCTCACATCAATAAGATTTTAATATTTACAAATAGCTTATCAACAAAATTATCACATCAACAAAATTTGAATTAATGACTTTACAAGTCATAGGCGAAATTCTTATTAATTGACCAACATTTATTAGTTACATGTATAATCATTTAAATTCACATAATTTCATGTTAGTTCTTTAATTTGACATAGTATGATTTTAGTTCTCCAACCATACCAACGTTAGTTTTATAACCAAAAAAAAAATGTTGACATTAAACTTTTAAATATAAATAAAACATTCTTAAATATTAACCTATGAAATTTTTTAAAAAATAACAATAATTGGCAACCAAAATAATTGTTGACCAAACAGAAGCTTCACTAAAGTTTGGGAATTAAATTTGCCCCTTTGGATTGCTAAAAAAAATGTAATCCTTCGGAAAATTTAAAAAAAAAAATATTAAACCATAGAAGCTCAACTCCCCACCCATCCCATGACAATGTAAAGACAACAACCACAACCATGTTCGATGAATCAAATGTAAATTCAAGGTTGACTAATCACTAAATTGAAGAGGAAAAAAAAAAATCAAACTAATTCGGCGGATTAAATATATTTCTTTTACAAAAGAAGAAAAACCATGATGGCTTCCAAGCGTCCACATGCAATTCAGGACAGAAAAAAAGGGTTTGATTCAATTCATTCATACATTCAAATATGTCCTAAAGAAGCTAACAATATTACAACAGAATTCACATGACATTGAAAATCTTGTTTCACATCTCCTTGTCAATGATATCTCGCATCATCTGTATTGGGATCAGTCCTTCGGTTCGAATCGCTTCTTTATTTGGATCAGGACTTATGAAGAACAGTGTAGGCAATCCTCGAACCTGAAACATAATCATCAATCCCACTGTTATTTCAGCTGAACCTTTCTTTTTCAAGAGTTTAGTAGATGTGATAGAAAGTATAAAATGAAAGTGAAAATCAATCATTTAATTCTTATAATTTTCATCTAGCCATAATTTAATTACTAAACTTTAACTCAATACAACTCAACTGTAATGGTTTTAGCTAGTTTAACATTTGTTCTTGAGCTTAAAAAACTTTAGGTAAAGTACACATCTAATCTTTTAACTTTACACAGTATTTCATTTTGATCTCTTAATTTTATAAAATATCTTTTCAATCATTTTACATCTAACATGATTAGTTTCATCAAGAAGAAATTCCTTCATTAAATTTTTAAATATTAAAAAAATTTTCAAATGTTGACATATTAAATTTAATTTTTCAAACAAGACAATGATTAGTACAAAAATATAATCATAAGAGTGTCTTTTTAATATTTCATTTTGATCTCTTAATTTTATAAAATATGTTTTCAATCATTTACCTCCAACACTTAAGTTTTATCAAGAAGAAATTCCTGCATCAGACTTTCAGATAAAAAACATATTCTCAAATGTTAATCTATTAAGTTTAATTTTTTAAAAATAATAATAATTGGTACAAAAAATAATCATTTGAAGCTAACAGTGTTAGGGTTAGAGGACTTAAAATATACTTTATAAATATAAAGAACCAAATTGAATTCTTATATAAAATTAAAGGACCAAATTTACACTTTAACCAATAACTTTAATCCTTATAATTTTATTTCCTAAAATATAAGGAGTAACATTTTAAATGGTTAAAATTATAAGAATTGAGCTGCAGAGGGTCAAGGTTGATGGATTGGATTTCAACCAACACAAAACTATTGTGATTGGGTTGTATTGATTCAATAATCGAGTAACTAATTCAAAACTATAAGACCAAATGATTAATTTTTTCCAAATAAAAATATAGAGATGACAAATGCATGCAACCCCATTGTGGGGATATTATCTTAAAGGAGTAATTAACAACGGCATTAGACATTTTTAAGTTTGTGACAAAATTGTTTACAGCAATGTCATGGAATTGTTTACTTTATTATTTAGTGAGATTGGTCAAAAAGATTTCTCTCCTCTTAATTTGATCCTTCAAAAGTAAGAATTCTCAATTTAGCTTCTTTAAGCATTTCCCTTAATCAAAATAGCTCACAAAGTTGAGACCACTTAACAAACTTGTTAGTATGGTAGAAACAAAAACAACCAATGAAAGTTGATCTGGTTAATAAAACTACAATTAAACCCTACCAAGGATGTAGTGTTTCAAATCTCACAATCAATGTGAGAACCTGGTTAGTAAATAATCCATAAATCTATAAATGCTTCTATAAATATTCTGAGTTATGGTTTATCCTAATCTTGATGAGCCCCTACAAATGACTTTTATTTATTAAACGAAGAGAGAGAGAGAGCCATTTTTGACCCGAATTAGAGTAAATGTCAATTTTCCCATGAAATCGAAACTTCTTGAAAAAATTACAACCAAATGAGCCAGCACAAAGTGATGTCTCATTTAAGATCAATTTTTTTCCTTCTAAAATAATAAACATGTTTGCCATCAATTGTGTCTAAATAATGCCATTATTCCTATGAAGCTAGCCAAGGGTGCGGTAGGGTATGAGTAAAGATCTAGAAAACCTTCCGACTGTAACCAAAAAATAAAATAAAATAAAATAAAAAAGATGACATCTAAAGGAGGGAAATGACACTTGGGCGAGCCCAAATCATAATAAATTCACGCGATGTGAGCTCCTGTCTATGCCACATCAGCAAATCTATCAAGTGACCGTCACTATGCCTAACAGCAGGACCATTTTGATTGAGAAAAAGAAATATTTTAGGGTGTTTAAATCAAGAAGTTTTATCCGAATTAGAAGAAAAGTGATCTTTATTAAGTAATTAATTTAATCTTAGCTATTTTGGATAATCAGCCAGGTTAATGAGTCATTTCAAAAAGTTATACAGCCAGGTTAGTGATCTTTACCAACTGCATATACATGTAACAATTGACGTTACACATAAATTGGCATATTACCTGCATGTCACGTGCAAATTCATACTCATCATCTGTATCAACCTTAACAATTATTGCATTGTTCTCATATTCAACCGCAAGCTGCAGAAAATGAAATCCAATTAAGATTTATTTCTCAGCTCCCAAATTGATCACCAATGGCAAACATGGGAAGATACTGTAGAAACAGGAACCACACAGGTGACTGAAATAATGGTTTTCTATTATATTCAGACGAAAGTATGTAATGCTTGTCATTCCATAAAGTCAATAAACTTGAAAAAAAATATATGGCAGTTATCTATAAAAATGTAAACCAAAAAATTGTAGAACTGATTCATTGCTCTGGATCATGACTAGTTCAATGATTGCAATATCAGAATTCAGAAGATTGGTTAGTGCGGTCATGGCTATTAGAGGAACAATAAAACTGCACCAACATGATTTTACAATAAGCTCATTTCTTCACCTCAATGATGAAGAAACAAAATAGTAATTTTTTCTTTTGGCTAATACCCTTTTATTTTTTTTGGTATAAGAAAGTTTAAGTGAGTTGGATCCCAACCTTCCAAAAGCTCACTACGACCAGAGCATGCCCTAAACCCACGACCTTGTGAATTATGGGCCAAATCTTTACTAATTGGACCAACCTTTGATGGCTCTTGTGGCTAATATTTATTCATAGATATAGTTAACACTCATAATGATTTTGCTAGTACAGTAGCCTGCAAAGTTGTACCCACTGCCTTCTAGTATTTTTTTTAATACATTAAAAATATTTTCACTATCTTGATTTTCCCTTCCTAAATCAAAATTCACTGGAGCTCCTCTTATTGTTTAATTATCTTTTGGATGCGTGATCAGATCCTCTAAAACTACTCTAGTTGTCGTGTCTACTTGGAATTCAAAATATTTTGCAAGAATTCATAATCCTATAAAACTACTCTACTTGAATTCATAATCCTCTAAAGCTGAAGTTAAGGGGTCAGCTGGGTATCAAATACAAAAACAATAGGATACTAGATATTTATGGTTCATAATGCATTGAACAAAGAATTACCATTTTGGGAATCAAAATTTCAAAGATTTTATACAGAATTATGATGGTACAAATCACATTTATCAATCAGGCCACCAAAAAAAAAACCCAGGTTTAGAATTACAGCTCTAAGGTGTTACACACAGTAGTTGGAAGTTAGAACTAAATTAACTATGGGCTCATGACCTAATGGGAGAGGAAGCATATCCCCCAACAAGAGAATTAACTTGTTATTATCGCCTTCAGAAAATCATAGAACTTCTTCCAATATATCTCAACATATTGAATGATTCATCACCTAATGCATGTGTATTAGAATCAGGCTATGCTGGTTGAGTTTTCAAGATCACTCTCAACATCAATAAAACCAGAACAGGAAAGAAGCTCTGCATAAGAGTTAAGTTTGGGTTTCAGAAAAGACACAGCATAGGCGCAATTTAAGTTTTGAGTTGATTATCATGTGCTCACTGTTACATGTCAAATGGTCCTTGCCACATTGCTCTAGTTATTTCTCTTAAGGGTTAGATTAATATCATCTTATAAATCATCCCTAAGGATCTTAACCTCTAGTTATTTCTCTTAAGGGTTAGATTAATATCATCTTATAAATCATCCCTAAGGATCTTAACCAAACACGTTATCCACCAAATGGTAGCACGAACATTAGGGATAAAGATTATGCATGAAAATTCTAACCCAATTCCAATCTCATGTGTGACGGGCCATATTGGGTGTGGTGGAGAACTTAATTTCCAAGTTTATAACTGTTTTCTTTGATAAATCAACAGTCCAATGTCTTTAGTCTGCACAAGGAAATGGACCTTCCTCAAACTTTTCTTGTCATTGGAAATCCTTCAACCTTCTAATTGACATGGACGGAGAAAAATCTGTTCTGTTCATCCTACCTCATGTCAGATTAAAGAGTTTAGTCTTTGACTCTCTGGATCCTTAAGGCGTCTATCCATGCAAGTCTTATTTCACATTCCTCAACACTTCATTTTAAGCCTAATTGGAAATCAACAACTCCTTTATAGGAAAGTCATTTGTGTCAATCAACAGAATTAATACTCCTGGCATCTGTAGATACGCAGGCCGAAGACAGTTCTTTCCCTCAGCAAATATTTCATTTGCAGGAATAATTCTGAAACAGTGGCCACTTGTTTCAACATCTTTTCAGCATTTCTTTATGAATTGGGTTTCTGGTATCCTTTTGATTCGAACAATCAGGCTCCTCATGGCCTCTGTCCAACCTTTTTCCAATCTTTCTCCATACATTTTATTGGGTTTTGGATAGTTTTGTTTTCATGTCTTCAATATCTCTCCACGTTTCAATAAGGGTCAAATGTTAGAAAGATGAGTGCAATCTTCAAGAAACTTTTCTCATGTATCACATAGGAACAGGATATCTACTTCAATAAAAACATGGATAAAACTGTATTTTGTCAGTTTGCTCAATTAAATCCACGTCAGAATGGAAACTCATGGTTCAGAGCAATGCAAACACATTCTCAAAGTCATGTTAGTGAAACTTAAGCACCAATAGAATCAGTCAAGCACATACCATTTCGAGTTCTTGAGCCATTAAGATACAAGGTCCACACCATGTTGCATAGAAATCAATAATAAGAGGCACATTTCTTTCTCCCCTCACCAACTCTTGAATTTCCTCAGCTGACAACTTTTTCTGCACAGCCAAATTGATAACTAATAGCATCACCACGACACCAAACTTCAATGTCTTTCGCAAATAATAATATAATGAAGGAAAAACCCAGCAAAGCCCAATTTTTATTTTTAAAAAAGCCTTAGAAAAAGACACTTTCTCATTTATCCCTTTTCTGACTTCCTTCATAAGATTGTAAAGGGGAAAAACTCAGCCCATTATAGCCGGAAAACAAGAGAAATGGACATTTACTCCTTAGCCTTCTGATTCTCTACATCTAAAATGACAGTCATTCTTAACAAATTTTAATTGTACACCCTAATCTATTAAGAATAATTACTTATATTTAGATAGAGCATTCATATTAACTTGTTTAAAATGGCTCCCCCTCCCCCCCAAAAGAAAAAATAATAATAATTAACAGAATTCGAACTTTAATCTTTAAACAGAACCAAAAGAAATTCATTTCTTTCCCGAAATTCTTATCAGGAACCAACCACTAATGCCCCGGAAAAACACAAAATCCAGGAAAAGAAATTCAGGTTATAAAACCTAGAAAACAGCAAAATTGAAAGCCTAGCCTTGTTTGCCATGACAAAAAGAAGTGAGAGTAAAGCATACCACAAGATAGTCCTCTCTGACAAATTTTCCTTGAGGTGGTTTACAGAGCAACTTTCTGGGGATTGTGGTGGAGAGAGAAAGAAGCCTATCTCTATCGTCGGAGGTGAAGAGTGGATAACGTTGATGGGTTATGGAGGAAGAACAAGGATTAGCGAAGGAAATGCAAAAGGGTTTCGATTTGAAAGTGAAAGTAGTGAAGGGTGAGAGTGTGGCTAAGCTCCGATGACTGTGAGGTATATAGGAATGAAGAAGAGCCATTGGAGTGAAGCTGGAGAGAAGAGGCCCGGCAACTCTTCTGCAAGTGTTGAGTCGTTCCGGTAACTAGAAGAGACTATCTCTCATACGAACATTTTTTTTTTTTTGGTTTCTTTAAAAAAAGAAAGGCCAGATTTTTTAAATTATATCTTTATCACTTTGGGCCTAAAAAGCCCATGCTTTAATTGGATTCCATACCAATAATTAGCAGGAAGACCCATGCTGCATTAAAAACATTGAAATAGAATAAAACATGAAACGCTAGAAGGAGGGCTCGAACCTCCGACCTTGTGGTTAACAGCCACACGCTCTAACCAACTGAGCTATTCCAGCTTGTTTGGTTCGTTGTTTAACAAGACGTTATTATTATACCTTAAATTTTGTTATATTTTTATACAAAATTTTATTTATTTTTTTTTGTTATATTTCTATACACCCCATCAATCATTAGTCACCAATGTAAGCATGTAGTTAATATGTGATAGAAAGCTCAATCATTTGCAAAAATATACTTACTAGGTCCAATTTTAAATAAAAGGCTTATTTAAAACTTTTGATTCGGTATTAAATATAAGGTCTTATTTTGTTTCGCTTCGTTTATTAGTTTTTTTTCTTGTTTATAATATCTTTATTTATTGAAGCATTTTTATACACATTAAAATTTAATTTTTAAATGGTAGGGGTATTTAAAAAAATTAAAGTGTTACAAATTCTCTATATATTAATCATAAATAATCAACTTACATACTTTTCTATGACAATGGAGGACACTCAGATTAGATTTTCTTATGTTAAAACAAGTATATATTAATCACGAGGGACTTGTTGGGTAATTAATTTTCTTTTTGTGACCTATTATATGTTATTCTTTCTATTATTTATTATTAAAAAAATTGAACAATTTAATTTTATATTTATATATAATATTTAAATTTGATTTAGTTCAATACCATCTTTTTACCCTTCACAATTCAGTCAAACAGAAAGACACAAATATACTTCTATACTAAATACAAGTAAATCACAATTTTTCCCTATAAAACATGGCAGATGATGACGTTTTCTAAATATAAACACGTTTTATTTCTTTCTTTTCTTAGATGAAAAGCATGTTTTAAAATTTTATAAATATTAGAAAATATAATTAATTATTTAATAAGATGGATGATTCGAATCTTATAAATAGAAAAAAAAAATAAGAGCCATGTTTAGTCTAATTTTTTTTTGCCAACCATATTTAGTCTTTTTCGTTAAACAGAAATAATCGAAGATAGCTTTGACATCCCAGCCTGTTCCATACATGCTTTAGCAAACAACATAAAATCATTAGCAAAAAATAAATGAAAAATTATTGTACCTTTGATTTTTTTTTTTTTAAAATATGAAGGGATGCTAATCTCTTTGCTGTGCTTCGTGATGCGTCAGATGACCCCCTTTATCCATAGCAACCCAACACGGCAAGGCGGTTAGTCTGGGCGTACTTGAGTCTGGATTGTTCAAATTTTGAAATTTTATTTTTGTTTTTTGTTATTATAAAAAATATAAATTTTTAATAAATCTATCTTATCATTAATATGAACAATACAGATTTAATATGAATAATTTAATTTAATATTAATTTTTTTATAACTTTTATAAATTAATTATCTTGACATATTCCGGATCATCTGAATTTAATAATATTTTTATAAATTTTTATTTTAGTAAACATAAAATTAAAAATAAAGATAATTTTCAAACCGACACTTAAAAAAATTAAGAAAATGTTATAACTTGAAAATTTTAAATTTAGATTGTCTAAAATACATCTGAATAATCAATTTATAAACTAATAAAAAAATTTAATATTAGATTCAATCATTCAGATTAAATATGTATTATTCATATTGATGATAAGATAGAATTGTTAAAATTTTATAATTTTTTATAATAAATATAAAATATAAAATATAAAAATAAAGTCTTAAAATTTGGATTGCTGAAATTGAAAATTTAAATGGTCCAGATTACTTATCATGATGCCGAAGCTGGACTCAGACAAAAAGATAAAGGGAAGACAGATCTCCATGGTGGATCGGAACTCTTTGACTCTTTTCGTTCACCAATCCAAATCAATTGCATTTCTGGGAAGTCACACAGGCCTAATAACTCCACGAGCATTGATATAAAGAAAAAAAACTCCAATAATATTTGGGGGCAAATTCAACTCCTTTAAACAATTAGAAAGAAACTTCTAGTTAAGTCAATTATGAGGTTTTTTTTTTTTTCAAAGTCAATCTTAATGGCTATAAATCATTTCCTCCCTTGTTGGTTTCATATTATTTTCATAGTATTAAAATAACGTTATCAACACTTTGTGTGCATGTCTGCCTTAAATAAAGCCACAATGGTTCGAAATCACCACCAATAGCATAATTTGTTTGAGTATGTTCATGATCTTCTTTGTCACAATCATATAAATGACATTACATAGACTAACAGATCTAAACTCTATTATGGTCTCCATTCAATCTACATCTGGAATCTAAACAACTTGATTGCCATTAAGAGGAGGAACATTGGAGGATCTCAAAAGATAGATTTATCTAAAGAAAAATCATATCCAAAAGTCACTCAAATAAATTATTAGCAAACAAATATCAATACAAAATTGGTTATTGTTAACTATGAACATCACTTGTTTATTTTTGAATGAAACTTATTCTTAGTTTTTATTTGTGAATAATTTACTTAAGTCATATTTAGATGTGATTCTCCTTTCATTTAACCATACAACTTTTAAAAAATAACCATTTCAGTTTCATAATTTACTACCATTTTTCATTGACTTTGAAAAAAGAGGTGATATTAACCAACATCTTTTTAGAGATATTATTAATATTAATCAGGCTAGAATTTTGTTGTATAGATATTGGAATGTTAATTTGAAATTTATGTACAGAGAGGCTAGCCAATCTGTTAGCTACTCATGCATTTCATGGCTATCACTATTTTATTACCTCTGATTAATCCCAACTTGTTTGTTTGAAGGTTGTAATCTTTTATTACTTGAGTCTTTTTTTCATTAAAGGAAAAAAAAAAAAAAAAGGAAGGTGATTTAGCCTACCAAGACCAGAACTTTCAGAGGACCAATGTACCATCTTTTTACCCTTCACAATGCAGCCAAACAAAGTCAAAAATATACAAATATACTTCCGTACTAAACAAGTAAATCACATCGATGATGGCGTTTTATAAATGAAAAACATGTTTTGAAGGTTAATGTGAGAAATTCTTAGGTTTATAAATATTAAATATTAGAAAATATATTTATAAACCTAAGAATTTGATTATCTTTTAATTTTAAAAATAATTTTTTGATGGATTAATTTAAGAAATAATTAAATGAGTACTTGAGTTGAACAAAAGAGATTTAATTATTTTTTTATTAATAAGGATGATTCAAATCTTATAAATAGAAAAATATTAAGAGTTATGTTTAGTCTAATATTTTTTTGGCCCACCATGTTTAGTCTAATTATAAACTTTATAATATTTGAATTTGATCAAATAATGGTACGATCACACATCAAATCAAATCATTACATTAAAGAACAAACGATTTTAGGATTGGAGATTTGGAGGGACAAGGAGAAAACAAAAAAACAAAAAGCCCGAATCCTGTAACAAGTTTTAGATATATTATTAATATTAATATTAATATTAATGATTCATTTAATAAAATTATATCAATTTAATCAGAAAAATTATATATATTATTATTTTAAATGATTTTATTTTTATACAAAATGTCTATTTAATTTTTTATCTTTTTTAATTTTTATTATTATTAATATTAAAATTAATTTATATTTGATGTTATAATCATGATCATGACGACATGACCTCTCAAAAAAAAAATCATAATAAAACTGGACTATGTGCTTATGAAAGAATGATATGAATCTGTTATTAATAAATATAAATATGCCATTTTCTGTCAGACTTTACAGGACAGGATGATGATTATGATACTGTTTACAACTGAATTAAGAACCCTAATTTATACACTATTCAGCATTCATCTCACCTTAACTCTAGATTTAGAGGAGAAAACAAGGGGCAAAAAAAAAAAGGCAAAAGAATTGTACGGAGATTCGATCAAATTCAGCAAAATCAACTCAAATTTTCAGTGAAACTCATGAAGATTGATCCGTCAATCCATGGCCGTCGCTTCCAAATCCATCATCATCAAACAACACCTTCAACAGTTCCACCGCCTTGTTCTTCCCCTTTGCGCTGCCGTTCTCCGCCACGTCGGCGAGGCCGTCCATTGCCCTCTCGGCTTTCTCTCTCACATCCGCCGCTAACTTGTCCCCTCCACACATCACCAGATTCAACAACGCAGACACAGCATTCTCCTTCGTCCTCATACTCGATCCCGTCACCGGATCCATCAGATCCACCAACACTCCGATTCCTGATACCTTCCGAAACGCCTCTTCGCTCTCCTCGCAGCCGGCGATTTGTGCGATCACCGCCGTCGAATCCTCCACGATCCCGACTCTTCCGTCCTTCACAACCAGAGAGAACAACGGCGCAACCGCACCGAGATGGATCATCGTGCTCCGATTAAGCGGGTAAAGCGAGATTCCGAACAAGGCCTTGAGAGCGTCCTTGATCGATCTAGACGGCGAATTGAGGCTCTTGACTATGTCAACAAGTGCGTACACGATGTCACGCTTCGATCCGATGATCGGCCGGTACTCATCAATAACGAGGAGGCTGTGTAACGTGGCGGCGGAGGATTGGACGGCGGAGGGAGAAGACGTAGATCTATGATTCGACAAAACATGTGAAATCGCGTCGAGAACGCCGCGCGTGGACACCAGAGGCTCTTTACAGGAGATCGATATATTCAAAAGCGTCGCCGCGGCGTTCTCCTGAGAATCAGGCGTAGACGAATAAAGTGTTTCTGCTAGGTAAGGAATTGCACCAGAATCAACAATCAGAGGACGAATCTCCGGGTCTTGCTTCGTCATAAGACGAAGCTGGCACAGAGCATCGACCCGGGTTTTCTCCAACACAGAGCTCAGTTTTCCGACGAGGGTACGAACTGTGCGGCGTTTAGCCTCCGTGGAAGAACCAGAGAAACTCATTTCTGCGGCGAAAAGCGATTGTGGGAGAATGAGTATTTCTGGGTATGGTGTAAGAAGCGTGAGGGAATAAAGATGACTGAGCTGGGGGTAGATGAAAGCGAAAGGAGAACAGAAAAAGAAGTGAGGGGGAAGAAATGGCGAAGAAGGTGAAGAAATGACAAGCGAGCGAAGAGAATGAAAAGACGAAAAAGGGCTCGCCGTCTTCGATGAAACCCGAAAGATTGAAGAGAGGGGAGTCGCTATCAGCTTCTGAGAAGGTTAGAGCTTAGAGCCTTTTGACTCTTATATAGGGGTACGGACAGGAATTGAGGAAGAAGGCAACTTCCCTTACGAAGATTCCTTTCACTCTGAATTTCCCTTTTCTTTTCTTTTTTTTTTTTGGTCTGGGGGAAAAATAAAATGATGAATAAACAAATTAAATTTGTAAGTTTAAAACGATTCAAACAATAATTTTAAATGGTTCAAGTAGAAATCTATATCTTCTAAAATTGTTGATGATAAATTTGATTGAGATTTATCAAATTAAGTACTCCCTCCATTAACAAAAAATACTCCCTCGTTCTTAGATATAGAAAAAAAATAGTCAATGGTTTAAAAAAATTAGTTAAGTGTAATAATTATATCTGAAATTAAAAATAAGGCTAAATTATTTCTTTAATTAATTAAATAAATTTTTATAATAAAAAAATATTAATTTTATGGGGGACAATTTTACTTGTAAATAAAAAGAAAGAAATATGTGATAATTTTTTTATATTTAAAAATTAAAAAATATAAGATAATTTTAATCAAACTATAGTTACAATAAATTAGTTAATTTGCTTTAAATAAATAATATTTTTTTATGTTTTCTTTTATTTAATATTACATTTTATGTAAAGATTAATGGTTGCATGGTTTATACAGTAAAGATATTTTTGAAAAACCAACAGAAATTGGTTCTAGTGAAAAGGTCTCCTTTCTTACAAAGTGGAGAACCAAAATTCAAATACCATCTAAGAAAGGTATTAATATTTAATATCCAAGTACACTTTAAATATGTTTACTTTTAATATGAGAATATTTATAAGCAATAAAAAATATTTTTAAAAAAACTAATAAATTATATATTGACAAATTAAAAAAAAATGTTTTGTATTTTTGTACCCCTAATCTTAGAAAAACATATCTTTTAATTTTGAACAAGGGAATAAGAGAGAACGCGAAAGAATCATTTTCATTATTTCTTAATTGGGTAAATTTTGCTATAAATTCACTGCTCTTAATTTCAGATATTCATAAAATAAACCATTTTAAAGATATTTTTAATGATTAAGACTGATTAAAGGTCTTTATTAGAAAAAAAAAATGGAATGAATAGCTTTTTGCTTGCACGAAGGATTAGAATGAACGGATCCTTTAGCATAACAAGAGGAAGAAGAAGAACGAACATGCTTTTAACAATTTGGGCAGAAATCTTTTTTTAAAAAAGAATTTGTATTTAAACTTATCATTGGCAACCAGTCAACCACGCTTTAAAAAAGCAGCAATGCATCAAAGGAATATGAAAAAGTGACGAGAGATATCAAAAAAATAATTAATTAATTGATGTTCACACATGCATCTATTCAGATGGTTTTGATTTTTCTTGTATTTAATTTATTGGGATGTTGGTAAGACAAAAAAAAAATTATTAAGGTAATGAAATTTTTAGTCCCTCAAATTTATTTTAATTATTAATTTAATTTTTTAAATTTAATTTTTATCAATTTGGGCTGTTATATTTGTCTTAATCATAATTGTCAAACTCTTAAATTAACTCTACAAGTTTAATATTTTTACCTTTCTAACTTATAAAATGATATTAACTTGTTCATACACTCGAACTAAATACAAAACTCGATTAAACTGGTGAGTTTATTTTTAAGTTTATCGTTTTTACGCTTCTAACTTACAAAATCATATCAACTAATTCATAAACTCAAATTAGATACAAACTTAGTTAAACTTATTAAGCTTGTCTTTTTTTTTTGAGTTGAGTGAGTTAAATATATATTATGAAAAAATTTAGTTCATAAAAGTTATAAGACCTGGTTCAAAGAAAAAAAAAACTTAACATACAAAAATTAATATTAATAAAAAAAAGAAAAAAAATACAAAAAATAAGTTTTTCTATTTTAAAATTTTTGTCTTGTATACGATAATTTATCAATGTAGATGTGTTTAATTCAATGGTTTATATTTTTAATATATTTAAATTAAATTAAAATCATATTTTAATGACTATTTGTTAATAAAAGTAAATTTTTATAAATTTATGATCCGAGTTTGCAATACAAATTTATATTTCTGTCGTGAGTTTACTTAAACTCGCGAGTTTAACAACCTTGTCTTAATTATTGATCTAGTCTTTAACAATTTTAAAATCTTCTAACATGGACAAAGGATTATTGATGACAATCATGTAAATTAATAAAAAGTGCAATTATTTTAGGTAAACAATAAACTCAGATATTTAAAATCAAAATAACAAAAGCAACGTAAAAGATGTGATTGCTAAAATTAAACTGATTGGAAGGTTGTTTTGTTTTTCCTTAGCTACCTATGTGTGCGTGAATTTCTCAATATACTTTACACATTTAATTTATATTTTAAAACTTAAAAAACTAATATAATAATTAAAAAAAAACAATATCAGGAATCAAATCAATAAAAATTAAATATAAATAACAATGACTAAATCAAACATGAGGAACCGGAGGTTTCATCATGTTGAATAGTTTTTTAAGGGCGAATTAAACTTATTTGCATGTATTGTTTTGTATTGCATGGAGTTTAATATGAATAATGTGTTTATGATTTATAAATAATAACATTTAAGTTAAATTTTACATCTCTATAGAGATATTATTTTTGGTTTATTTTTTATGGGGTTATTTTTTAAAGCTTAATGTTTGCACTTAATTTGATTTGCTATTAAATTGGGGAGTTATTTAGTTAAATTAATCTTTTTCCTTTTTTTTTATAAACTATGCATTTTATATCTCATGTGTGTGCTTTGTTTGTATTGTAGTTAGGCCTACTAATGCCTACCATGGATCTTTCGTGCCAGACTCAATTTGGATTCCAGTGATCCACCGTTAAACCATTTGTTTACATGTTTGACTATAATTGAATCTCAATTCGGCACTTTTTAATTTTTAGATTATGAAAGCGTCGTGATTAAGCTTAATATTAGTGAATTTAAATAATGTAAAAAAAATAAACAATTACTGATTAACCAAGTTTTTTATGTCCTAATAAATAAATAAGAAATTGTTTACTTACAATTTGTTAGGACAAAAATCACTATGCTTAAAACAATTTTAAAACATAGTTGAAATTTGTCAAACCTGAACTCCTAGGAAGGACTCACATGATTATAAGTATATGATTTTACTTGATTTTTTTTTGTGGGGACCTAAGTATATGCTATCGTAGGAAATTATTTAATGCAGTTCATACGATGTGAGCACTATGTAATTGTGATTATAATAATATAAGTCCTTGCAATTTGCAATTAATGTATTTCTTTAAAATATTATAAATGTGAAACTCATACTCGCCCTTTTTTTTAAGATCTTTATATTTATTGATTTCTGAAGTGAACAAATGTGTAGGATCCGATACTCATTATGGTGATGAAATGTGAATCATTTAAATTAGGTTTGAATAACATAGATTTAAGATTTTAACTAATAAAATCATTTTTTTCAATTAAAGTTGCTATTGAAAAGATAAGATAATAGTAAATTTGATTCACCCAATTTCATGAATCTTTTTTTGACCATCCCCAATTTCATGAATCTAAGCAGACCTAATTCCTAGTGTATGTGTTTAGTTTTCAGTTTATATTTAGTAAAAGTCTAATTAAAAGATTCAATTATTTGTTAGATTTAGTAAAAGCATATTTTAAATGTGGTTTAAATATACTTTTAAAAGTTATCTAAACAAGCTCCTAATACCCATCACCAATTTTGGCTTCATCACAAAAGTATGATTGGATAAATCTTAGTGTAATTATTTTTATATAAGTATATGATATTTAGGACAGCTAAATACTCCAATCTTTAATATAAGGTAAATTTTTAAAGTTTTTTAGTTCTTAATATACGACAAAATTAGAACAATTAATTCACAAAAAAATAACAATTAATTTTTTTTCCTATTCTATCCTTGTTTATTTATTATAATTTGAATTCCTAGAGAATGATTTATTTATTCATATAAATGTGAATAGTTGATTACGAATTTAATTTTTAAAAAAAATATTAATTACATATTAAAAAAACTGAAAGTTCCATATTCTTAAAATCCAACCTTAAAAAAATGGTTTATATTTTTAAAGGGATAGAATATATTTAAAAATTGTCAGACCTGTGAAGATAACTCTAATTTTCTTTTTAAAGGAAGGCTTAATGTTTGCACTCAATTTAATTTGGCATGAAGTTGGTGAGTTATTTGAGTTAAATTATTCTTTTTCTAAAAAAATATTTAGTTAGGCCTACTAATGGATCTTTCTTGCCAGACTCAATTTGGGTTTGCTGTGATCCACTGTTAAACCATTTGTTTACATGTTTGACTATAATTCAATCTTAATTCTGTACTTTTTAATTTTTAGATTACGAGGGCCTAGTGATTAAGCCTACTATTAGTAGATTTCAATAATGTAAAAAAATATATAAACAATTTTCTACCAAAAAAATATAAACAATTACTTGTTAATCAATTTTTTTATGTCCTAATAAATAAATAAGAAATGTTTTTGGTACAATTTGTTAGGACAAAAATCACTAGAGTTAAAACAATTCTAAACCACAGTTGAAATTTGTCAAACCTGAAACCTAGGATGGGCAGACATGATTATAAGTGTATGATTTTAGTTGATTTTATTTTTTGGGGCCTGAGATGAGATTGCATTTGAATTTAATATAGGCTATCCGTTGAAATTATTTAATGTGGCTCATATGATGTGAGCACTATGTCATTCTGATTATAAAAATATAAGGTATTGCAATTTGCAATTCGCAATTAATGTATTTCTTTATGATCTTTATGTTTATTGATAGAGAAACATAACTTTTAATCTTTATAAATCATTTATATTTTGTTATAGGTTCTTGCATGTTTTTAGTATTTTGAATCCCTATACTTTCATTTTTTGGTGCTTTAAGTCCTTTAAGAATTTATAACAAAACACGAGTAAAGTAAAAGTATAAAGATTTAGAACACAAAAAAAAAAATATAGGGACTTAAAACAA